TCACCTTCTTTCTGCCTCTGCAGACTGATGATATCTGCCAGAATCATTCTGAGGTTTTTCCCACTCCCTGCCAAGTCTTGGGTCTCTGTGTTCCAGGTCTCGGCTCCCAGGACTGTCTTTGCCCATAGTGCCTGAGGCTCTGCCCTGTCTCTCTCACTGTCATAGTGCAGGAAGGGCTGATCATCCAAAAGACCTTCAGCAAAGAACTGTCTGTGCACTAAATGCTTCTGGGATCTCATTTTCAGGTTATAACGAAGACTATGGGACCCTGTGGAAGAAGATACCACAGATGATTTTTTTCTTCCTGGAATCAATAGCTCAAGAACATGGAAAACATAGTTTTGGCCTCCTGGTGAGATAACTAAAAGCAAAAATAGACCATTGGAATAGCATCAACCTAAAATATTCCTGCCTAGCAGAGAAGAAAATTTATAGAGTGAAGAGACAACCCCGAGACTGGGAGAAAACAATCATAGGTCAGATAATGGTTTAATACACAAAATATACAAATAACCTTATATTTAACAAGGGCAAAGAAGTTGAAGAGACATTCGTAAAAATATGATACATAAATGTCCAACAGATATGTGAGGGAATGCAAATGCCAATTAAAACCAAAAGGAAATATTGTGTCTCACTTATTAGATTGGTCATTGTGAAGACACAAAGAGTGATAGCAAGAAGGTGGAAAAAAGGGGTGTGCACCACTGATGTTGTAATTTAGTAGAGTTATTTTGGAAAATAGCATGAAGGTTCCTCCCAAAACTAATTTTTTTTGCTTTATCCAGCAATTCCACTACCTCATTCACACCAAAGTAATGGGAATCCAGATTCCCTGGATTCCCTGCACTGCATGTCCACTGTAGTAGCAGTCACAACAGTTAAGATAAAGCAGCAACCTAAGTGGCCTCCAATAGATGAGTGGATTTAGACTATCTTAAACCACGTGGTGCACACCTAAAATCCCAGCTACTCAGAAATCTGACACAAGAGGATTGCTTGGGCCTGGAGTTGGAGGCCACCCAGGGAAAAACAGCAGCCCACCCTCAAAAAGAACTCCCTCGGCAAAAACCAAATCAAACCAAACCAAACCAAACCATTATGGGATATACACACAAAAGAATATCAATTAGCCTTTTTAACAAAAGGAAATTAAGGATGAAAATGTAGCTTAGGGAGAGAGGACTTGCCTAGCAGTCACTAAGGCCTCAGATTTTATCACCAGAAACTTCTTCAAAAAAAAAAAAAAAGCTAGGAAAATTTGTCATTTGTGACAATGTGGGTGGAAAGTAGAGGACCCTAAGAGAAATTAAACAACAACAACAACAACAACAAACAGGCATACAGAGACAAATGAATGGACAGAGAAAGGAGAGACACTGGTAAAGGGCCACAAAGTTTCATTTGGATAAGAGGAAGAGTCTGGTGTTCTGTAACACAACAAAGCTTCTCCACTTAATGCTGTATATTTTAAAATAACGAGAAAAAAAGATTTTAAATGTTCTGACCAAAAGGAAACCATAAATATTTGAGGTGATGGATATACTAATTACCCCGAAATGATTATTCTAAAATGCATCCATAACATTACATCCCAGAAATAGATTCAACTATTTGTCAACAGAAAAATTTTTGGAGAGGAAATCAAACTAAACATTATTAAAAAAAAAAGTTGGGGCTCTAGAAAGTTTGGGTGAGGTACAGAGGCAGCAGTGGATAAAACCTCTTGTAGGAAATGGCCCCTAAGAATAGGAGGAAAGGACTGAGGTTGGGGAGACAGGGTATCTAGTGTGCAGGAAGCACAGACCTAGGATGCAGTGTCTACCTTAGAAATGGGTCTGAAAACACAGCAGGAGTGGGGGAGGTGAGGGGAAGCCAACAGGCTGAGGAGACATGTTGGGTGACCAGGAAGGAGGCATAGCAATCTGGTGAAAACACAGGCATATTAGAAAATAGATAGCATATTAGGGTGAGAGGAGTACAAGGGGGGACAGAATCCCAGGGCCCAGGAGTCCAGGGGACAATGTGGGTGGAAATGAAAAAAGCCCCAGCAAGAAGATCTTGACTCAGCAATCTTAGCTGGTCACTTCCCTCAGTCTGTGTTTGATGCAGCCACAGTCCTCACAGAGGCAGGAAGGGCTCTATGGGGCTGGGACGTCCCTACCAGCTCAGGGCCAGAAGAAAAAGGTCTCCTAACTGGGGACTCCAATGAGCTCAGCTGAAAACCAGCCTATGACTGCGAGGAGAGCAGGGGCTTCAGGAGCCCGAACTGTCCCTAATACAGTTGGGAAGAGGTTCCGTGAGCCGCGGACCTCAAAGGGTCCTTCAATGTCTTTCAAAGGAGAAACAGCCTGCACCTCGGGAATCCAGAGGCGACAGAGGACCGGGACGACTTAGGATGCGGGACGTCGGGGTGGCAAGGTGCTTAGAAAACGGAACTGTGGGGCTGGGGATGTGGCTCAAGCGGTGGCGCGCTCGCCTGGCATGCGTGCGGCCCAGGTTCTGCCCTCAGCACCACATACAAACAAAGACGCTGTACGCGCCAATTACTAAATAATAAATATTTTTTAAAAAGTATATAAAAAAAAAAAGAAAAGAAAAGAAAGCGAAACTGCGTGTGGTGGCAATGACCCACGTCAGGTCCAGCACCTCTCCCCACCAAACCAGACTGCTCATCTTAACCGAGAGGGTTCCCGGGACTCTCACAGAAACCCGCCTGCCTCCCTGTAGTAGCCGGGCAGCTCCCCCACCGCCGGGAACCGCATAGAGCTCACTCACCAGCGGCAGCACACAGGGGTGCCCAAAAGGCAGTTGCTGCCAGGAGCAGCAGGACGCGACACAGCCCAATAGAGACCAAACTTGACATCCTCTTATCTGGTGAGCAGGATGGAACTCTAAGAGGGTTCCCGAAAGCTGATCTTACAGTCCTCCTGGCCCCTCCCACAACCACTCACCCAATGAAAATAGACGCCTTAAACTTGAATGTAGATCTTCAGTCTATGCTTGATCAGAGCAGGTTTCCCAAGTGTAATCACTCCAGCATGAAAAACTTGTTCTTTTCACCTCCTCACCTCTAAAAAATGTTTTCTAAAAATAGAACTATAGCTATTCTTACTATTGCCTAAGGCTCTAGCTTGTGCTTTTTCTGTGAGTGGAAATGTCATGCACCAACAAAGTTTTGACAATTTCTTAGACTTATTTTCATTTGTAGTAAGTATTTGATTGAAATAATTTAAAAAAAAAAAACACAGAAGACATTGGCATCCAGTCCCATTCTCAGAGTTTATTTTCATTAGTTACAGGGGCAGGGATGATGTTAAGTTGGAGATCCCTCACTTTCCTGGTTCATCAGCTGATAGGGCATAAAGTGGACACCTCTACCTCCATAATCAAGTAAGCAAGTCCCCATCATAAATCCCCTCTTATTGACCCCCACCTGCTTCTATCTGATTCTGTTTCTCTGGAAACTAATATAAGCCTCCAGTAAGTACTGGGTCACAGTTACTGTGAGCTGATCCCAAGCCCTTTCAATCTCCATGTTGTCTATGCACCTTCGAGGACTCACTTGGAGTGACAGCTCCAGCAAACTGTCTCATTCCACCCATACCCAAAGACTTTTCCTACCTTAATAATTACATGCTAGGGAGCATTTACATATAGCTCAAGGAGAGAAGAAGCCTCAGAGGAGGCCCTAAAGGTCTTGGGCTCCAGATGTTGGGCAGTGCCCAGGATCAAGGCCTAGCTGCCCCTCCCCCAGCAAGCCTCCCAGATCTCATCAGTGCAAGATACTGCTACCCTGCCCCTCCCCCTTCAGACTCTTCTGCTCTGCCCAGTGAACTACTGCTTCTCTCCCCCTCTCTTCTTTGCATCTCTGAACTCATAAGAACGGGGGTGGCTTACTCCTCACCCACCTTAGGATTCACTGCTGAGTCCTGAAAAGCAACAGAAATCACTCAGCGGTGTCCTTTAAACCCAGGGCGGGTCTCATGCACTATTTCAGGACTTTGCAGCCAATTTTACACAGAAGATCACCTTTTACCCACGCAGGCTTAACTAAAATAAAACCTTTTGATTGATGTAAAAGCAGATTGAAGGTGCTTATGGGAGCCTGGAGGCAGGCAAGCTGCATTTGGGTTGGGGTTTTCAGACTGCTAGGCAGATACACCTGCGAGCTGTGAGAATGCAGACTCAGTGGCTGGCGGAAGGACATTCTGAAGTGGGAATCAAGATCTGAAATCCAGCATACTTCAACCAACATTGCCTGTATTTTGATGCGGTTGGGTACTGAAATGCTTCTTCCCTCCCATCCCCCACTTCCACAGGGGGCGCAGGGGGTGCATCTTGGATTGTAGGATCAGAAACTGCTTCCTCTGGAGCAGGTCTAATCAGTACCATAATATTACAGCAGCAATGAGTATAACAAGAGTGTTGAGCTCCCTGCAATACTGCAATGAGCTGTGTAAATAGCTGTGAACTTAAGGTCAAATAGGAGATATGGATGCTTCTACCCTGATTTTCTGCTACTGTTCCTAAGTGGGAACAGAAAATGCCGATTTCTACAATAGGCAAATATGTATTTTATTATTTTTAACTTTCAGTTTAGCACTCTGCTTACTTTCTATCTTTTATTGACATTTTAAAAGAGCTATTTTCTCTAACCCCCATATCTAAATATAGGGCTGTTTTTGTAATGACAGCACCTGTCAGTATAAGTTTCAGATAGCCTAGCCTTTTAAATACAGATGTGTCAGGATCTATGAATAAAGGGTTTGCTGTACTCATTCATTCATTCATTACATAGCCAAAGTACAAATTTTGAAGAGAAATTATCTATTGAGCCAGACTTTACATAAAATAAAATGTGTCTATTTGAAATGTACAGTTGTTCATTGAATTTGGGCACTTACATACAGTTGTATCACCACCACCATAAAGAAGATGAAGAATATTCTGATTATCCCCCAAAGAAACGTTGTGCAATAAAATTCTATGCAGCCATCAAAAGGAACAGAATAAGTTTTAATGCATGGCTGTAAAAAGAGGTGCCCAACAGTTTTGAGTTTTTTTTTTAAGTTAGGAAAATGCTAGATTTTAACGCCACTAGTGCAATTACATAATGTACATTTTTAATAGTGGGAAAACCTGGAAGATTTTGCCCCAAATTTGACAGTGTTACTTCTAGGAACAAGGAAAACTCAGTGCCTGTCACTTTTTCTGAAATGTTTGAATTGTGTCTTCTCATATAAACTTGGATTAGCAAGTTTATATATAATATTCTGTGTCAGACAGAATATTAAAGATTGAAAATACAATAAGCTAAACCACAGATTCAAATACTAATTTTTAAAACCAAAATATTAATTACAATCCATCACCAGGGAATCCCTTAAGATAAGCCTTCATATTTTCATAGCTTTGAATCTTCCCCAAACTGCTTTTAAAAGGGATACCAAGACCGACTTTCTAATTTAAAAAAGTTTCAAAACCCTTTGGGCAAGGTGGTTTTCTGTAAGGAATATAGCCAATCTGGGGAGGCCCTTGGACTCCACATAGTAGTGGGGATGGAAAGAACAGAAATCCTGTAGGACTCTATGGCCCCCCAGTGTGGGACTGTGATTGTGGCTTAAGGGAGAATACTCAGGCAGACATAGAAATGGGGAGGGGGGTGGGGAAAAATTTGCAAAAATTCTCTCTTTCCTATACTCCATGTTTGCGTTGGAGGGGACCAAATGGACCTGGGGGAGTCTGCAGAAGCAGAAATCTGGGTCTATTGGAGGGGAAGCCAAGGTCCCCCAGAGTACTCGACTTTCTTCTCCAAGTTCTTAGTAGGAGCAGAGTGTAAAACTGTCATTTAGAAATTAGGAATCATATGACCCACTCTGGTTCATTTGCAGGAAAAAAAAAAAAAGCCAAATGCTACCTGTAACTCTTCTGGCCAGTAGAAGGGTCAGTAACTCTTCCTCTCCCTCTGGTGCTAGTTAGAAGACTAAGACTCTAAGACTCTGGGCTCCAGCCCTGCAGTCCTGAGCAGGCCCCTCCTTCCTAAGCTTTCTGACCTGCTACCCAGCCCCACTTCCCATGTCTACTTCCTCCTTTTCCCTTTCCAGACCAGCTCCTGAGGTCTCTCTACTTCTTCAAAAGCCTTCTCCTGGGCACAGAGACCTCCAAAATCCAGGACAAAAGAGAGACAGTGACCACTGAGAGAAGCTCTGAAGGACACATGTGTTCCCCATCCTAGAAGGCTTCTCTCCACCCTCTGATCTGTGTGTGTGTGTGTGAGAGAGTATGTGCTTGTGCATAAATGGACAGTCAACCAGTACTTCACCTGGTATCTAGGAAAGTTCCCGCCTTGGCTCTGCTGCAAGGTTCACGTTGTGTATACCTGAGCCTTTCCCTCGGAGGAGGGGGCAATGATACTCATCAAATCAGCGGTCAACAGCTTGTGAGACTCTAAAAAAGGGGTTGGGGAGACCAGGCGGTCATTGTGGATGTCAAAGTCCATCAGAGAAATTCCACTAGGGAAGAATCTCCTTGTCACATTTACATTCAGGCAGTGGCTCAAATTGAACCAATGTTCAAAAACCTCCAAATCTTCATTCAGGTGATATCATGAAGTTGATTGGAAGTCTTTGAGGTCTAGGGTAAAAAGTACCTGTGTGTTTGTGTCTGCAGGCCAACAGTCCTTACATCTCAGGGCCCCTGGAAGGACTCTCTTCCTTCAGCAGTGCACAGTGAACCCAGTTCTGGAGTGGAATGTACCATCCCCTTAGATATGCAAGATTTTAACATTTACTCTGGGATTTGGTAGATTTTGGCTTAATCTTTAAATTCTTACCATCACTTTGTTCTCTTTCTACGTGTAGAACCATCACTGTACCTGAAGCAGAAACAAGGGCCTGGTGGGAGGAGGTAAGGCCCCCCCTCAGAAGGCCCCTTTTTTTTTTTTTGGTCTACATATGGTGTTTTGTGCGCCCACCCTCTCTGTGTCTAGAGACAGTGTCCTGTGTCTGTGTGTGTATGTTTGTACAATGCTTTGAGAAGCAATTCAACCATATGTATAGGAAGACTTAAAAATGCCCATGTCATTTAATTTATTCCTATTCAACAAATTCATGATTTTAAACCAAAGTCCCAAATACAGAAGAATCTTTATATATATTTTAGGGTATTATTCTGAGATTTTTTTGGCTGTGGGGGAAAAGTTATACAGGGGGGGTGTGGGTATATCTCTCTGTGGAAGCGTGTGTGTATCGTGTTCTCCGCGCTGTGTTTTCTCTCTCTTCTCCCAAACACAGTGCAACACAACCCCCCCCAAGGGGAAAGAGGAGAAAAAAAAGGGGGTGAGAGATATAGAAGAGGACTTCTTCTGTTTTTTTAAAATAGTGTATAGCTCACAAAAACAATGTTTACGAAGTATTTGGATGTCATACAAAGTGGCTTATCAATCATAATAAGTTTCCAAATTCAAGATTCAAAATAATTCATCAGGAAGAGAGTCCTCCCAGGGGCTGTGGCTGTGCAGTGCTGCACGGAAAGGAGTGGGTGGGCCGCAAGGTCTCTCTGCGGCTCAGCTCCAGAGGCCCCTTCACAACCAAGCCCAACTCATCTGCCAGGTTACTCAGGATCCTCCCAGTGGAAACAAAAGGTGGTTTTTACATCTTTCTGTTTGGTGTATTTTAAAATACTTTCTTTGTTTGATCAGTTTTTATTTTCTTATAGGATAAATTATGCACTGTGAAACAAAGCTTAAATGAAAAACCCATAGGAGGCCTGGGGCCTCTTCTCCCTGCTGTGTCTTAGATCTTCACAGCTTTTGATAGTCTTTGACTCTTTTTTTTCCCTTTTCTTTTTTTCCCCTCTTATCTTTTCTTTTCATTGG